TTTTTAACTGTAATATTTTTTACTGGATTACAAGCCATTTAATCCCATTATATTTTGTAAATCAAACATGGCATAAAATTCTGAAATCAAAGATCATTAAAAAATGTTAGGGAACATATAATTAGATGGTATTACAGGTTTCACATTTCATTGCTGTATATATTTTTTTGAAAGGTTTGTTGCAAAAAACAATTATTTTATGCATTGTCAAACATTACATACACAGTAAATCATAAAGTGATTAACATTATTTATTGCTATTGAATACATGGTGAAAAATGAAGCAACTACTTTACTTTACATCACGAGGTGGAAATGTGTTATTTGAGGATTAGTAGAGTTTTTCAATAAATTTTCCAAAACTATGAGCAACTGAGAAGTATGTGATAGTAAAAGTTATTCTATCATAACTTATTTTTTTTATGTTACAATAATAATACATGTACGTGTAGCCTTCGTTATTCAATCAGATATGCGTACAAAAAACAGCAAGTTCTTTTAAATACACTGCAGTTTAGAAAAAATACATTTAAAAGTCTTATTAATGATACAAAGAGAAACTAAGTCTGATAGCCTGATTAAAGTTAACTCTGTATTGAAAGTAATAAGGAAGTAGGATGGATAACTGAATATTCAGTTTTGATTGGTTAATGAAAAACCAGTGAAGGATAAAAAAAATTTTGCATATGTGAAATTAACCCTATTACCACGGGTATCCTTTACTGCACATGATAAAAAGTTTTAGTGTCTTACATTCAACATTTTATTAAACTACTTTTTGTTTACGTTATACCCTCTTGTTTGTACACAACTAGCTTAACACACAATTCATGTCATGAAATCATTATCCAACACAATTCAAGGTGGCATTTTTAAGCCTTCACTGTACTCATTAACATAGCTAAGGATCATTTTTGAAGTTTTATATGCCAAATAGTGTTATCTGAACCCAAAACAAGAACTTATCAACAAACAATAAAACCTGTTCACGATTGATACAAGGATAAAGTGATGTGGTATATCATCAAATTAATTCTTGATGTCAGTTGCTCTCTACTGCTTGGAAATGACATGCATAAAAGTACGTCAGCTACAATAAGTAACCAACACTTGACAGGATAAACTTTGGAAACATTAATCAATTTAAATGGTACCAGTTTTCATGAAAACAAGAAGCTTGCCGTATTATTTGCTGTCTTAGGACTGTCCCTCGTCAAATGCTATTAGTGATGCTATTAAGCAGCTGGAAAAGTTATTTTCAACAAAGAATCAGTGATTTGGCTAAAGTTGTAAGTCTGATCAATTACCATAGCATTTAAATGTTAAATACCATATTTGACTGAATATAATGCACACCCAATTTTGAAAGGTTACATTGAAGAAAATTTATTTTACACATCAGTAAATACAGTAAACAACTATTGATGTATTAAACATTTTGGGAAATCTTTCGTTAACATTTTTTTTCGTGGCAACTTTATAAAATTTATTGAAAAGTTTATATGTGACAATACACTATGCTATTCATTCACCTTCACATAAATCTTTTTCATCACTAGACTTGTTTCTATCATCGGATTCACTGGATTTGTATCCTTGAAGCTTTGCTTCATCATCTTCTGATCTCCACAGCATGTCATCATCCATCCCATCCATTGCATTAGATATGCAATGCAATGCAATTTGATATGCAACATTTTTTGAAACCTTTAATGCTGCTTTAATGATTTTCAGCAGTAGCTTCTAGTAAAATACCTAACAAAATTGAACATGTGCAAATATAATACGTAGTTAATTTTTTGGGGGGTATTTGGAGGGTAAAAAAGTGAGCATTATATTTGGGCAAATACAGTAAATAGTATCTATATTTCATTATCAGCTTGGCATTTTTGTAACCCTTTTTATCACTAATAAATTTGTTACTGAGCAGCTTATATAAAAACACAGTATTTTCTAAGAAACTAACTTTTGATTACATTTACTCATCTTAACAATCATTTATACCTTGTCATGAATAAAATAATGCAATATGATCTCTCTTTCCACAAGAAAATTATGAAAATCCACACATGCTTGTAGTCAGTTTACTGATCCGCCACTATATGAAACATCGTCTTCATTCCTTTAAGAAATTTGTGCATTTTTCAGGTTCTTTTCACACTTAACTGTTTTGTTTATAAAATCTTAACAATTTTAAATAATTTTTTCCTTCCTCTTTAGAAGAAGCAAGTAAAAATTACCACCATACATCAAAAAGGCTTTTAAAACAACCCATTAACACATATATGTAAGTTTCTGATTACTCTATACCATTCATATGCTACTTTTTAGGGGAAAATAAGTGGTAATTAGACTTCATAAATTACTGATAGTTTTGTTCAGATACAGCTCTTCAAATGCAAGTTTCTACATAATTATCCTTAAGTATGTTCCAAACTTGAAGAAAGAAAATTAAACACTTTTCAAACATCTGGTTTTCCTAAGAACTTGATATTTTTCATTACTTTTTTTAGGTCAGATTTTCAAATTAGTGAAAAAAATGTAAAAATATACAGAAGTAAAGTTGGTTCAAAAGTAAATATCAGTAGACAGGGAAATAGATCGACAGATAAGTGTGAATTTTAATTCTTGTTCTGTTTAATAAAATACAAAGCAACACAATGGTATATCTATGTTATGGCCAACACAGAGATTGCAACCCAATTTTTAGCTTTGAAATCATTCACGCTTAATGCTGAGCCATTGAGGAGCCTTTTTGATTTTATATTAATCTTAATTTTATATGCACATTTGTGTAACAAATTATACATTTTAAATAAAATAGAGGTCAAAAAGTTTTTAGAAGGTTTTTAAGCACTACTTGCACTTTCAAAATACTATGAAGGACTAAGAAAAATACAAGTAAAATAAAAAAATAGTTAAAAATAATCAAAAACAGCTAATTTTAAAACTAAGATTTTGTGGTTGTTGAATGACAAAGTACATCTTCCTAAGTAATAGCTGTCAGTATATTTACAAAAACTAAAACCTCAATTAGAAGAGCAAATCTCCTTGATAAACATGTACACAACAGAACAGAAAGCTCTTTATGTTCCAGAGTTTCAAATGATTCAAAAACACCTGTACAAAGCAATTTTACCATATTATATAGAACTTAAATTAATCAAGTTTTCTAAAATATTATGATTGATAAATTACAGACTACCCCTGGTTGGCCTTTGCACTTTCATTAGATAACTGAATATGACAACCTACTTCTTAATACATAATAATGAATGTACTAACCCTTTCACGATGGGCTCAGTATAAAATACACGAGTTTGTATACACAATTGCACACGTTAAGTATTTATACTATAACTTTTAATGCTGTAAGTGTACCTTCACAAAATTTGGTAGACCTTTAGTAATGATTCCAAGTCTTTTGTACACAAAAAATCAGATTTTTTTAATGAAGTATTTTTACTAAAAATTTGTTTGTAAAAATATTGAGTCGGTTTTATTACTAGTATGAGAGTGAAGTAATTTTCATGTCATGATTAAAAAACTATTCTTATACTCAAAATCTCAAATATTATTTGTGTAATCTCTAAAACCTCCTAAATACATTTCAAACGTTTGTTTTCAGTAAAACTTTATATTTTGTCTGTTATTTTTTCTACCCTAACTATGTGAGGTCTGTCAATTTGGCCAACCTCGTAACCACCATAAAAAAATTAGGAAATAAATACACGTTATGCTTTTTTCATTTTAAAATGACTACAAATTATAACATGAAAACACAAATGTTTAGTCTAAATAGTTTAAATCTCAAAACATTATACATTTATATATATTTATTATTTTTATTATATTGACTTTCCAGTTGTGCCTGGCTAACAATACAGAAGTTACAATGATGAGGTACATGTGCACTCCCGTTACTGTATCCAAGAATATAAAACTGGCCTTTACAAAGAGACCTGTGTTGGCTATGTTTTAGTGGATTAGTATTTTGTAGAATACAATCACGTTTCAGTTATAATACATTATATATATATATACAATTTACAAGGAAGTTCTTAAATTAATTTTTCTTAAAACATAGAACAGTAAATAAAGAAGTAAAACAAATAATTATCTCTTCTAGTTATGACCTTTGTACTCAGTTGCTACTTGACATAGGATGCTAAGCGAAATAACTTTTTTTAAAATTTAATGTATACAGTTGAATAACCAAAAAGTCATTAACTTCTATATTGATACCATAGAATTCCACTATAATTTATCAAGTTTAGTAACTAAGTTGTGTTTCGGTCTAAAAAATATGAAATTTCGAGTGGACTAAAGACTTGACTTACCTCTATGCTGTCTTGTAATGCAAGAAAGATATAATGACTTTATATTTTAAAACAGCTAAGAAAGCCACTAAGGGGACATTCTGAGCTTTCATTTGGTTATTCACATGTCATATATAGAATTAAGTGTAAATAAGGGACCATTTCCAAATGTAGAAAGAGGTGAGCCGGCCCACTGCATTTGATTCAGTAATGAGTGATATCTCAGCAAAAAGAAAAGAT